CGTGCTCATTTAAACAAATTGTCGCGAAACCGGAACTTTAGTAATGTGAATTCTTTTTGATAGAAAATGAAGGTAAATCTTGTGAAAAAATTTTTTGTTCTTGTTGATGACATGAGTCGCAACGAAGACTTGAATTTTGTAACTTTGTTGAGATGAGGAATTGTGTTTTGTCAGCACGAATGAAATGTGAAGTCCAGATTCACACATCCGTTATACAAAGCCAAAAATTGTCGCGAGTCAGAGACAAAACTTCAGCTAGAAAAACATTGTCGCGAGAAACAATCAAGCGAAATCTGTCATAGATTGAGCGATTCATACAGTCCAAATATGAGGAAAATTGTCCCTCCTTTTTCAAATGCGCGAGACGATCTTCTGTCACAAGGAAAAGTAGCAATCAAATCACCCGACTCAATCGAACATGCCGATATTAGGAGAAAAATGTCGAAGTCGTCATCAAAACCAAGCATCAAACATTCAACAGAATCGAGGGAAATGTCCCCTCAGAACTATGTGACCTTGATTTGTGGTAATATGCATCGGAAACCGATAGCAGAAACTGTCACACGTTCAAAAGACGGATGCCCGGAAAAAGCGCTGCCTGCAGAGGATGACGAGGTTGTCAGATACCCACCATTCATGCAGACATCTTTTCATTCCCCATCCAGTACAAAATGGAGAACACTCCAAGGTACTCGACAAGATTCTCTTGAGAGAAAGACAGACGCACTACGAAAGGAACGTGACCATTGGACATAAAGTCAACACTTCCACGTGTCCCGGAAGTAGCAAGCAAAAAGAAAAAAAAAAAACTCTCATTTTCTGAGTGACAGACAGACCAGACAAACCCCTTTTAGGCCTTTTTGAAAGAAAATTGAAATCATAGGGAGTGATATGGATAGCTCAATCTCCAAATGAGAAAATTTTATGTTGTCAAATGAATACGTACCTTGACAGAAGTCAAGAGATGTTACATGAACTCATCAATCAATTGAAGTTTTCTTCGATCAAATGATCTGTTGAAAAAAAAACATTTCGATGTAACGCGAGATCACACACAAGTGAAAGAATAACGAAACTGTAGACCAATGTTGATGATATGTCACTTCTGTAGAGACGGAAGCATGGACTGACAGCTTCCAGAGCTGACAGGTAAAATGTCGCTAACCTCGAAGCCACATTTTAAAATGGCGGGGAGCCCTGTGAGGACCCAAAAATGAGTCAAAATTAAATAATTATTATTAGAAATTTATTAAAACGAAACTAGAAGAAAAAATCGTCTATTGTTAAAAACCGATCAAAGATCGAATTAGTTGTGTTAGTCATATGAAACCGCGACGAGAGAAAAAAACTTTATTGATGTAAACCGAATGTAATATTTTTAAATGATTAATTAATAATTGTAAGCAAACGATCTCCAGTAGAGATGGACCTTTGAAAAGTCGTTCATATGCACATAATTAGAACATAGAAATTTGGAAAAGAGGAAAGATTAATGACGAAAAAGGACATCGCGTCGTGTCGTTAAATTTCAAAAACGTCACAGACTAGACAACAATGGTGGAAAATATGAGCGCAAGTTTCAAAGTTCCATCAACATTTTGCAGCCAGAATAACGGATGGTGTCAAGTAGATTCTTCAAGGCGGATCTTTCTCGTGACTCGAAAAGGAATCGTTTTTCGCTTAGAAACAGACGAGGGAGCCAATCAGAAAACAAATTAGAGAACGGAGATTGATATAATCCCCGATCTTCAAGGACAGAGGGACTTCTTCCGTAAACTGTGCTACTGAGTACTTGCACTCCAAAAAGTCCGGAGCGAAAACTCTCTGTGTGTGTCGACGCACAGAAGACGCAGAGTCCGCACAAGTGTCCATCGAAAGAGCCGTGCCGCCGACACCTCCCGACAAGTCTCCTTACCTGCCGCAGCCCCGGGGCCCATCTCCGAGTGACGAGAGACAAACATCCACGACGTCCAAACAGTCGACTGTATCTAGATAATTCTAGTTCCTAGGTGTAAGTTTAATTTTATGTATAAAATAAACGGGTTTTTGTTAGATTCTTGTCATCTGTGTCTCCTCCACCACACCCACACGCGTTCGACCCTTGATCATTCTGACGCGGGATTAACGATCCCCCCCCGGAAGTCGGCGAACTTTCACTGGTGTCCGAGAGTGGAATAAAAAGTTTCCAATCTCCACCAGGTCAGCGAACTTACATACAAACTTCCAGTCTGGACCAGAAGTCACGTGATTTCAGTTTAAAATTTTTTTTTGAGAACAGAGTTAGATAGCTACTGGTATGATTCAGATGTTATCAGGAGAAGTATGATTTGTAGGGGCAAGATATCACTAAAATTCAGATCAGATATGGAAAGCTTATGGAGACCCCAATTAACTATATACAAACTTCTGGTCTGGAGTGGAAATCATAATTTTATTTAAGTTAACAGATGATTAAAAATTGCAGCCCAGCATTATGACAACGTCACAATAAATAATTTTTGTATAATTTTCTTTACCTTCTTGTAATCAACTTTCATCCACATGTAATGGATAATTATTTAACAATAAAATTTTATAGGTTTTTATTTCATTTTCTTTAAGTAGTAAACAACAACATACAACACCAGGTATAGTCAACAACATACCTTATGAACTGATGAGCAGTGTGCAAAGAAAAAAACAAAATGAAAATTCACCATGAATGTTTTCAAACTCCCCAAGTTCTTCAGGCGTTAAATGGATGTTCGATGGAATGTAAATGCTTTGGAATACAACCATTTGAACAATCATTCAAATCAGATGCATACAAAATTTTAAGAGTAATGTCACATTCAGATGTCTAGCAGAGACCACTGATGTCAATCAGTGCCTGCCAGGTCATCGACAAAACCAGCTCCTCTTTTAAAATTTCTTGTGCATCAGATTCAAATGGTTGTATTCCAAAGCTTTTATGTTCCATTGGACATCCATTTAATGACTGAAGAAGTACTCTGGGAAGTTCAAAAACATTTGTGGTGAATTTTTGTTTTGTTTTTTCTTTGCACACCAGTCATTGGTTCATAAGTTACATTGTTCATTTTCTTTAACTTCAATAATTCTGAACCATAATCTATAAATTTATTTATATTACAATCTTTTACAAATTTTTTAATGTTAAATTGATTATTAATCAAAATAATTGTGAAGTCCACATAATTTAAATCATTTGTGTTCAACATCTTATTCTCATATATTAATAATATGCCATTAACATCTCATTAATGTATGACACCATCAGTATTCATGATACTGCTGGATATCTGGAATTTTCTCTAAAGAAATTTTTAGAAACTCTAATCTAATATTATTTTTATTAGAATATTGATAATCATGAGAAAATGAAATTTTATTGGTTGGGCAGCAATTTGAAAAAATTGTACTTATTAATTATCACTGTCATCTGTCCTTCTTTAATCTTGAGAATGGAGTTATATAGAAATCTGAGACCAGATATGGAAACCTTAGGTGCAGGAGGCCTTGATTAACTATACTTGATTAACTTCCAATGCATACTGGAAACCACATTATTTCAAATCAAAAATTTTCCCCTGAAGGGAGTTAGATAGATGACCAGCATGACTATTGTTAACAGGAAATGTATGATGTACTATACAGAGGCTTGTTAACAAGAAAAGTGTGATGTACAGGGAACAAGACACTACTAATTTGAGTTGGAGTGCATATATTTTAAATTAAATAAATTAAAAAAATATGATTAAAAATTGCAGCTTGGCATTGTGACAATGTCATAATAAATAATTGCTTATTACATTTAAATTTAATTAATTTTTCCTTTTTATATTGAATTCAAAAGATAATATACTATGTACTGTACCTGCATTAATCTTATTATTTATTATTAATATACAGTTAACTCCCACTAACTCAGATTGATAGAGGGTGTAGGTCAGGGGTGGCCAACAGTTTTTGCCCCTGGGCTGAATTGGAAAAAAAAACTTTTTTCATGGGCTGCCAGAGGCTGCCCTAGGAAGATTTTGAGGTGGTTGAGATCTCATTGTGGTGTCACCCCATAGAGACTAAATTGAACATCGCAATTACAGATACATTTTCACATTATCATGCTTTATTAATGTTCTATGCTGTATTTAAGAGATTTGTATGGAGAGTTAACTCTAAACGCACAGTGAATTGTTGTTGATCTTTTTTTTTTAGGTGTTAGAATTTTTCACCAATCTATTCTGACTTGAATAGCTGATATTGAAAGATTAATCACAGGCCACATAAATCCATTACATGAGCCATATCCAGCCCGTGGGCTGTATGTTGGCCATGCCTTGTGTAGGTTATCTCATTTAGCACGGCATGTTTTCTGATGACATGGAAAAAGACAATGTGGATATACAGTACAATAATTTATTAAAATAGCTCTGTACAGAAGTTTTACTGAGCTTTAGTAGGTTAAACTGCTCAATTTATGAATATAGGAAATGAACTCAAAAAATTTCATGATAGTACAGTATATTACAATGTACAGTCTAGTAATTTACTAATTACTGTAATATAATGCACAGTATTTCAAAGGCTTCCATATATCAAAAGCAGTTGTTAATTATGAATTTGTTATAATTATAATTTTTCTATTGTTAAGAAATTTTAAATTACTATACAATATTTCAAAAACATTTGTCTGAGTTATACAAAGTCTTAATTAATGGGGTTTACCATATTTCATTATTCCTTATTTTTTGTTTTGCTAAATAAATGTAATTCATAGAAGACTACTTAGTTTCTTCCTTGTTTGAGTTTCAAGTTTTCTTCAATAACTTAGTAAAAATTTGGAAATTTTAAAAACTATATATATGAATTATGACTATAGTCTATTTACTCTAACCTAATGCATGGCTAGGGGAAGAGATTTGGTTGCCTTTTCTCTCTGCTGGGCAAAATATATCCTTCCACAGTTTCTCATTCTTGTAACATGACAGATCAAAAACTTAGTGAAAATAAGTAAATATTAAAGAAGTTTTACATTAAGAGATTAAAATATTTATTCAGCTGAATAATTAATTAAATTCATGTAATCAATTTCCAATTAAATCCTTCACTGGTATTGCTAATATCAGACATATTAACTGTGAAAAATGAACAAGGGGCAGATCATATTGCTATTCAACCAATCATTGAAAACACAGTTAATTAAAATACAAAAACATCAAATATATATATACTTTTCTCTATTTGTAAGTTTCATTCCTTCAATTACTACCACTGACAATGAAATAATTTTGAAACACATCATTGTTTCTTATGAATATAAAGTTTTAGAGGGAACTATTTCTTGTGAAAGAGATGCCCAAGGTTAGAATAAACAGACTATATATTTAAGTTTTAATAAATGAATTCTAACCAGTAGAAGTTCATTCATCTGGCACCCAATAATCTGGAAATTTCTGATGATAATCTGATTTGCTAGTATTTTGAAAATTAAAATTTGCAATTTATCATCTTCAGACTGATCAGAGTGTATGTAAACAATAGTATGTGCTAGTACAAAGTGTACAGTAATGTTTACAGCATTTGGATTACTTATAACTGATAAAATTTTTCAAAAATGCAAAAACTTCTAATAATCTGGCCCCATTCCAATCTCATAGGTACCAGATTAACAAACTTCTACTGTAAATTACATTTAAGTTAATATTTCAAAGAAATAAAATGAGGTTTTCTATATCAGATAACATCTTTGTAAAAAGTATATTGAAGAATAATTCTGTAAATTAATTATTAAAGACTTTTTTCTATTTTATTAAATTTTTGGTATAGAATTTTAAATAATAATAGCTTAAGTGAATGTAAACAGTCACTAATATTATATAGGAAATTGAACTAAAAATAATTACAGTAACTGATTTGTAGAAGGAATTTGAAATTTTCTCTTTTACCAACATTACTAGTAATAAAGAACATTTTCACTTATTATTAGTATTTTCTGTTAAAAATGTTTGAAGATAAATATAAAAGAGTTTCAGCAAATGCCTTCATTCTGCCCTCTCAAGAGCTGGATTCAAGTCGGGAATTTTCATGAGTATGTCCTAGATATGTCAGCTCATGGCTGTCCCCATTGTTGGTATGATGAAATATAAGATGAGTATGATTAAAAGGCCTCTTAGTGCCATAGGGCGGAGAAAGCTAAAGAAAAAAGATTTTAAATCAATCTTTAATTTTGATATTGTTTAAGTTCATGAAAAAATCAAATGTCTTGAACTATAGCATAGTATCTTTTTATGGTTTAAAATTGCTATACTTAATAATTATCCAAATATATTATCTGATATTTTAAATTATTATATTGAAGGCACTCAATTTTTTTCAGAAAGAGGAGGAAGCTTTAAAGTTAAAATTACAACAGGCTTTGAAAGCAGCAGGTAAATAAATAAAATTTAACTAATTAATGATTATTGTATATGTAATGTAATATATAAAAAAGCTGGCAAGGACTCTTCCATGACTTCCCTAATTTATAAAGTTAAAGTTAGGAGTGGTGCTGTCTGTTACAAGATTTTATTAAAAAGCAATTTTATATTACTAATTATTATAAAAAGGCAAAAAGCTTATTTTGGAGTAGGTGTAAATTGGAGGAGTTTTATGTTAAGCTATTGACTTGCATAAAGAACTGTATCATTATGGAGGGATTTATTGTTAAATTGATAATTGCTGTGCTAAGATTTGATTATATGTATATATATATATACAGTATATTTTGTATGCTATACATATTTTTTAAAGGAAAACCTAATATGGAAGTTTAGAATAGTAAATGAAAATAAAGTAAATTCCTGATTATTTATCATTTTCATTTAGAAAATTTATCAGACTTCTTGTAGTGGGGAGAGAATTCTACTTTGGTATTTATTTACAAACCCAAATAATCAAGAAGGCAGTTTTTTTAGCCATAAAGGATTTTCTAAATTGTTTAGCTAAATTCAATAGAAAGAGTCTATGATTTTTCTACTTTTATTGTCAATTTTTCTGTCTGACTTCTTAAAAGTAAATGGATATTTATTAATTATTATAAGTGTTAAATGAAGAATGTAAGTCAAAAGCATAAATGTCATTCGAATAGTAAGTTTAAATGGAATAGATTATACTCAAAATTAATTGATTATAATGTGATTTATCAGATCTAGACTCCATATCATTGATTTAGATATTCTTTGTCCAGTGAAAATACAAACGTTTTTACTAATAGATGTCTAATTTTAATATAACATGATACTGTAATATGGCAGTTTCCAGTTATCTGTCGACCACTTGCAGATTCCTATATATAGGCATGTTATGTATTTATATATATGCTTGTAGTTGAATGTGCTCTGTCAGGGAAGTAACTTGTAATCATACTGATCATGTCAATCAATAATAAGTAATGTTCTATAATGAAACTTGTAATTCTATTAGTATGTTTTTAGGAAAACAAATGTATGTTACTAGATATCTTCTGAATGTTTTTTGTGTCCTTGAGGGTCCACAAGTCCCAGTTTGGAAAATGTTGATATAATACAATATCTGTTAAAATCTGTTTAAATAGATGTTTTATGTCAGTTCATTAATTCTGAATATTATTTACTTAATGATGGAGGCTTAATGTTTTATTTGTTAATGAATGTAACTAAAAAATTACTAAATAAATTGTATAAGTTCAACATTGTAAGCTAATATTTACATTTTTCTTAAAAAATTAGCTAATGCAGATGCAGAATTGAGAGAAAAAGGTTTATTACAAGATACCACTCCAAGTCAAAAAACAAATGTTGCTTCTGTTGCAGAACAAATTAAACGTGCTCATGCTATAGAAGATATTAATTCACCCACTTTTACTCAACATTCCTTTGTATCAGGACATTCATCTACAAAATCAAAAGTAAGAAGTATATTATACTAATTTAATATATTTAAAAGTTTTTTTAATTTAAGTTTTATTTAATAATAAATTTTAAAATAGAAATCTACAGACAATAATGGAGATATTCATACAGCAGCTATGTTTGGTTTGACAACTTATCCTCCTCTTTCAACAGAAATACCTGTTAGCAATACAGGTATGAACAAATCAATGCGTGATGTATGGAAAAATGATCCAGAGAAATTAGCACATGAAAATGTAAGATGGTTATTATTTAAACATAATTTTTTTTAAATAAAAATATATAATTTTATTTTTTATTTCAGCTTTTCGAAGATTTAGAAATAAAAACGGAAAGATGGAAGAAAAAATTAATAGCACTTAGGAGGAAAAAATTGAATACAGAACAGTTGAAATCTATGTGAAAATTAAACATTATATTAAGTAATTTGCAGAATTTATTAATTATATAATTTTAAATCAATTATTTAATAATTGCATACATGTAATGACAATTTTTGTATAAATACAAATCACTTATAAAAAATATACAACTGTAAAAAGTTAGCATAATTAGCAGAATTTATAACAATGTGGTTATATAATTATTATGATATTTGTTGAAATTATAGTAAATATCATTTGTATAGAATCTAAATATTCTATACTTTTAAATTTCTATTAGAAGTAGAATAATTATATATCTGTGTTTGAGTAAATTCTGCTGTGTTGGACATTTTCACAAGTGTGTACATATTCATCTATATAATAATCCATAACAAAAGTTGAACATAAAAATTTTAAAAATTAATAAAAAAAAACAAAAAAAAATAAATTATGCCTAGAGTAAATTTTTATCATTACTGTTAACAAAAATGCAAAACTTGAATATAACAGATTTTACAAAAATTATACACATCTTATATTTTTAACCATTAAACAAATATCCACTGTATCAAGAAATTTTTTGCTTAAATTAAGCATTAAAAGAAGTTAATTTTATATGAGAAAAATATTTATCAATATATGAAGCAAAATTTGATGAGAAGGCCAAATAATCAATTTCATAAATAATACTCAGTATATTTATAAAGAAAAAAAAAGTTGATGCTAATTGTCAAAATTACTGAATTGACTTCAAAGAAAATTTAATAAAATTATTAATTATAGTTAACTTTGATTGCGGTCAATAGCACAAATGATTATTATTATGTATCTTATAAAAATATTTTAAGATAGATTAGATAAGAAAGAATATCTTGTATCTTATCACTACATAGATTATAAATCTATGTAGTGATAAGATACAAGATTTATACACACACACACATATATATATATATATGTGTGTAAATGTAATGATAGTTTATCTGTAGTTAATGTATTTTAAGTACAAAAGAAAATTAACTACAGATAAACTATCATTACATTTTTGTCAAATTATATGCTAAATTTACAAAAAATTAAAACCTTTACTATCCAGTATAAAATTTACATCAGAACAAACTCTTTTGGCTAATTTAATTAGCCATTATCAGGCTAATTAATTTAATATTTGAAAACTTTGATTATAAATCACATGCACTCAGTTCAGAAAATTATTTAAACTTATAAACATTGTATGCATTCTTATGTAGTTTTCAAGCATTTGATATGGCTTACACATTCTCTTTAGCTGTATTTATGAATCACAAGCAATTTGGAATTCTTGGCTAATGCTGGATTATTTTCATGGGTTACTTTTTTGATTAGCTTACTTGCAGATGCCTTATCCCAAAAGACCATGTTATCTCACTGGGCCACAGATGCTATGATGAATGTCAAAAAGATATTTTTCCAAAAGTAATATTCATGTACCTTAATTCTCATCTTAAGGGATTTAAAAAATTGTTTTTGTATTCAATTGAAGCCTGATGATGGCTATTCTTAAAACTTTCTTATCCAGTTATATTTACATTAGATCTTAAGATATTAAACCTAATGAAAAATCATAATAATTAATTTATGTTGACATTTAAAAGAACTGGGTGTTTCACTTACAAAAATGCTATTAACAAATTTCATAACAATTAAGCATCAATTAAGCACAAGAAAACTTGCTATATAATACAATCAAATTGGAATTAGCAGAACAAATGAATCAAAATATCAGAGATGATTATTTTTTATAAAAAATTTATGTTGAACTTTTTATAAAATACAGCACAAATATTGGAGCTAAATTCATGAAATTATGTAGACAGACATACAGAAATATATGGCATTGCTATTGATTATCATTAATTTGAATAAAATTATCTTGATTCATTATAAAATAATTTCTTACATTTTGCTTTTAAAAATTTCTTTATATATTTTTAAATATGTACAGTACATGTCATTTATAATTGAAATGAAATCATGTAGTTACCATTTGATTTCATTTTAAATTTTAAATTAGATGAGCTCAAAATAAGTAATGATCTTTATAATTATTATTTATATATAAATACAAAAATAATTACTGGCTGCTAAAAATTATGAATCTTAAATTTGATGTTACACATTTGATATTGATTATTTATAATTAAGCTATGTAATAATTTTTATATCTAAAAGCAAATTTCTGATCAAAACACAAAAACTAATTTTAGAAATAATAAATTTTGAGTGTATATGTTTTAGGCCACTAATATATTAAACCACAGCTTAAAAGTTTTAATATATTAAAACACAAGACATATTATAGTAAACAATTTTCAAGTGTACAGTATTTATATCTTCATGTATTTTCTTTTTCTGTTCTTGCAGTAGACCTTTTTCTTCTTTTATATTTTTAAATGAAGAGCACTGATGTAAGTAAATCTATTATTCAATTTTTTCTTTAATCTTGGAAAATATTTTCTTCTAATTATCCAAAGAACAACTGAAAGTAATAACAACATATATGAGATTAAATTTTATATGACTTTTAGCATTAAGTATTATTTATATTCATATTCGTATTTATTAGTATTGTTTCCTATAAGACAAATGCAAACCATTCAATCCTGTAAAATAGGAATTTTAGTTTTGTTTCTGCTTTCTGTACTTTTTGGGTAAACATTAGCTAAATGAAAAAAATTAAATCATCTTAAATATCAGACAAATTCACATTCAATGTATATTATATAGTGATTAAAATTTCTATTCACTATGCTATATCTTTTAAAATATACAAATTCTCTTTTTAAATTAATATTTACAAATTAACAGTGTACACATTTATTGAAATATAACTATATTTTTATTCAAAATAAATAAATACAATGCTGTTTAAAAGGTGGCAAGTTTAATTATTTAGCAGCTATTAAAAATACTTTCTTCATTTACATGATAAAATGAAGGACTAAATAAATACCATCAAAAATATGAAATTAAAGAATTAATATGTAAGAAACAAAATCAAGACTTTAGAACTAAATTAAACAATCTTACTTTAAATCAAAATGTATAGAATTAATGAATTGTTTAATCAAATCCATTCAAATCAAATCAAATATTTGAACATCAAAATGATTGATGTTCAAACATTTTATTCTTTATACTAATACAATCATTTATGTATTATTAACGACTTATTGTATTGTTTTCCTATTTATAAGAGAAGACAATGTAAAAATTACTTACTAAAATTAATCAATTTAGATGAATCTGAAATGAAAAATTTGACATATTATTCTCAATAGCAATTCTTAGATATATTATTCTCATAGTAAATATCAAAAAATTTTATATAGCTGTCAAAAATCACACACTTAAAAAAATACCAGTTTACAGTCCAAAAGCATCTATTTTTTGATGATGATGATAAAAATTATACTTTTAGAAACAAAGTGAATTTTTTTGACAAAACTGTGTATTAAAAACATTTGACAAAACAAATGTATTAAAAAGCTAGATTATATTATTTTATAACAATCATAAGAATTCAAAACTAAGTAAGAAAATACAATTTTTTAGAATTTTGAATAAGCTTATGGCTTAATTTCATGAGGTAGAGCATCCTTTTCGAATTGAAGATGTTCAATCTGTCCTTCAAATAACCTAACTGTTTCATTAAAGGCATCTAATTCCTATTGTTTTAATTCAATCTCTTTAATAAAAACCATTTTCTTCTTAAAATACTGGAGTAAATTAACAGTCATAACAAAAATCATTATAGCCAGTAATTTTATGTTAAAGTCCAATCACTGTCTACAAGGATTCAAGTTTATAATTGTTCAAAATTGTTCAAAACTTTCCTGAAACATTCCTGAAACTTGATTTGTGATAGCAAGAAGAATAGTTTAACTCAGGCAAAAGATACTATCTATCCATGCCTAATGTTAAACTATAGATCTTACTATGACATTGATAAATCAATTAATCACCTGTAAAAAAAAATAGAGCACACAAAAAATATAAAATAATAA